TTTAATTTTGGCTTTGCTACCGACATACTAATATGTTGTTGAGATAATCTTTATCTATGTAGAATTTTATTTATTGTTAATGTAAAAACTGGATGCAACATTGTAGTAAAATGCTGAGAATTCCATTCTGTATCACAAGTACTGATTTGGAATAAAGCTTATATAATAATAATAATAATAATAATAAATGTAAGATGATACTGTGAAATGGTTGAGTGTGTTGACCATTTCACTTATTTCGGAAGTTGTATCAACCCTAATGCGCTGACTAATCGTTGACGAATACACGTGTGACCAAACTGAAACCAGGTATCAATAAATGAATTCTCTGACCGTTGGTTATAGTCGGCCATGTGCACACTAACCGGGTCGTGGGATCCTCGAGACGTTATTAATCAACAGCCATAGACCAGTGGTGATATCGCTCGAAACCGCTGTCAATGGCACACATGCATTTCCTCCTTGCAAACTCATGGATTCATTAAGTCCTCATGTTTTTTTTCCTAATAATTATTCTTTTTCTGCATATTTCTGCTCATTATAACTCTTCTGAAACATTTTATGCTTTTCTTTGCCTTTGTGTGCTACGTGGAGTGTAACAAATTAAGCTGCTGCACTTCTGTGCAAAGTTCTCCGATGAAATTCAGTTAGTCATGCATATTATATATTCCAAAGTAGGCTTGTGATGAGAGCTGGCTGTTAGTCAAAATCGGTAGACAGTAATTCACGTCAATGTTTGTTTATGTCCCCAATATTGATCATGAGCAAAAAATGAGAACAAAGGCTTTGAGTAGGTGGATACAGTTAGCATATTATTATTATTATTGTATCCTTTAGTTCCTAGAGGAACATAGGGCTTCAGCTGCGCACCTCCATTGACTTCGGTTTTCTGACAACTTTTTCACCCTGCTCCAGGTCTGCCCACATGCTTTCATCTCCTCTTCACATGACCTCCTCCAAGTCACCCTTGGACGACCAACTCGCCGCCTCCCTTTCGGGTTCCACTCGAGGGCTTGTCTAGTGATGTCACTTGATGGTTTCCTCAGCGTATGGCCAATCCATCTCCATTTCTTTCTGCCTATTTGTTTCACAATCGGTTCCTGATTGGTTCGCTCCCAGAGATCCCTGTTGCTGATCTTTTCTGGCCATCTGATCTTGAGTATTGAGCGGAGACAGTTGTTAATGAAGGTTTGAAGTTTGTTTGAGATGCTCTTTATGACTCGCCAAGTCTCTGATCCGTATAGTAGCACTGACTTCACATTGGAGTTGAAAATCCGGATCTTATTTTTGATGCTGAGTGCTGTTGACCTCCACACAGATTTGAGAGTAATGAAAGCTTGTCTTGCTTTTCCGATTCTGGCTTTGATGTCTTCGTCAGTTCCGCCTGTAGTTGAGACGATGCTTCCCAGGTAGGTGAAGGAGGTTGTTTATATATATATATATATATATATATATATATATATATATATATATATATATATATATACTGCTTGATATATCATGAAACTATTCAACTGAGTGTATTTCGATTTTATGCACACAACACGCTCAATAATCCATTAACTGCACTTATATCTTACCACCAAATATGGATCAGTGATTAACGCTACATACTAAGCGTGTGTTCTAATTTATTATGATAAATGACAATCAGGTATTATTATTATTATTATTAACTTATGTATATTTACGAGGTGAGAAAAGAAGTGTTTAGACAAAATCAATACACATTGTGAAATACATTACATAAAAGTGGTTTTTATCACACTGCACATATCAACGAGTGAAACAAAGGTCATAATTACTCTATTGCTGTTCATGTACAAATATTCCTTTTTCCCTTCTTTGTTCAACTACCTGGCTTAAAGAAAAATCACCTGTATAGGGAATGACTCTGGTGCAGATAGATACTTGTTCCTTTTGGTTCCAAGTGGAACATACGCCTTCAACAGCACATCTCCACTTTGTCCTGTTCTCTGTGGTCCTCTCTCTGTTTGGTTGCCCCCCCCCTCGATTGCTCATGGCTTATCATCTCTCCTCGATGTCACTCTCGAACCCTACGCCCAACTCATCGTTTTCCATTCGAATTCTCACTCAAGCGACGGCCTTGTCAGCGCGAGTTCATCCAACAGTCTCCACCTCCATTTTCTTTGTTGAGCAACAGGTTCTTCGTTGGTTCGTTTCCTGACAGAGTTTCTTTCCAGCTGGTAATTTGATCTCATCGTCAGTATGAAGCCATAGAAGACAGCTGTTGATAAAGGTCTCCAACCTTCGTGACACGTTGTTGGCCAACTTTCTGACCCATATAGAAGCATTGTCAAATGTAACATTGGTGTTGGAAATCCGAATTTTCTTGTTTATGAGATGCAGGGGGTGCAGGAGATTCCGATTCTGGTTTTGCCATACATAGTTATCCGCGCTGTCACCGCCTAGATGAAACTTGTCAAATATATTGAATCATAAAGATTGTATTTAGTGTTTTACGATCGTTAAAATATCAGTGGATTTGATAGTCAGAAGAAAATTTTTCTTAGGTTAATTCTACAACATTTTAATGAGGTTTTCAAGATTATTGTACGCCGTGTATACTCTTCAGCCAGTTTACGCACACTATGCCAGTATGCGTATATGTGTACTTCTTTTGTTTTTTTTGGAAAGGGGATCATTCTGAGGCTATATAAAAGGGGTGCGATAATCGAACAACTTGTCGACGCTGGTCATTTCACCTCAACAACAAACGCCTCCTTCAAAGTAATCTACAAAGTCAAAAACAACCTACCAAAGACGATATGCTTTTGCTACCTTTGCATTGCTTAAGCTTTAGCTGTTTATTTAGCAAAAGAGAATTATTTAGCCAACCCTACTACCATGGCAACAAAGATTGTTGATTTCTACTTACTTTATTTTTTCAAGTATTGGTTTTGTAGGGATTGTGTTTGATTGGATGGAAAATTTCATCATGAGCTGACATTGGTTAGAGAACCATTGGAAAACCAACTTGGAATACTGGACAGCTATTTTGTCCTCGTTTGAGACTCTTCACCAGTACGCACCCACCACAGGTGGTTCGAACACAAGACCTTCTGGTTACAAGGTCAGTGAGCTCCTAGACCATTGAGCCACTGGGACTCGATCCAATAGCCAGCCCATGAATTCTAACTTCTGCCAATTCACGACATAGCGCGACCATTTCCCGATGTCGCCTTCCATGAGTTACTGCCTCATCTTCAACCTGATGTACCCTACTGGTCGGTCACGGCTTCCTACTAGAACTACAGGTCAATCACTCACAGCCTGAATAGGACCAGTCGCTGGTGAGCATCAGATTAATTTTTTTTCAAGTGTTGGTTTTGTAGGGTTTCCCACTGGTTCTCTAACTGGTGTCAGCTCATGGTGAAATCCTCCATCCAACTTTTCCCTATATCTTGTATTTCTTTAGAGCTCGTACGTAATTCCATATCTTCCTTCATTTCTATGTGCATCCTGGCGACAACTCATTCATTAAATTATTCATCGTATTACGTGTAACGCTAATACACTTCTTTTATGCACTGACTAATAATAATAACAACTACGTTTGTAGCAAATCAGCACTTTTGTTACTACCCTCTTTTTCATGAAAAAAACTGTGTAAAAATCGGGTTGTACAGCGAGGGGGAAAGTGATTTCACCTGAAAGAGCCTCTTCACTGAAATACGAGTTTTGTGTGAATGCGGATTAATCCTGAATATCTCAATTACACAAATCAAAAAACCAGGGATGAACAAGCGAGATTCCTTAGTCATGACAGTTGAAAGTTCGGTAAAGGGGAAGGCATCACCTTAGTCAGTAACACTTACCATTTTTATCAACAAACGATTAAGAGATTTCTGTCTGTCTGTTTTCCACATAGAACTTTGCACCGATGTGCACCAGTTCAAGTCGCCACACTCCCTCCTTGTAGCAAACAAGGCAGAAGGAGAAAGTAGAAGAAATGCATAATAGAGACAGTAAACAGGGATGTAAGACAAAGGAATAGAAGTAACGAAGAACGATATGGTTTCATTGGAAATTATAAATCACAAGAAGTGGATGCATCGGCGCCAGCCATTGAGGACGATCACTTGGAGCCATATCACCAATTGTTTCCAGTACACCTGCCTTTCGGTCGATAGCCAGCCGGATATGACGTCTACACCAGAGACGGCGTAAAATGGGATATGAGAAACTAGCCCTCTGTATCCGTACTGAGACTTCGTCACAGACCAACCCGTTGGCACTAGCTGGTGGTACTTCCCAAATAAGTGAAGCGGTCAACGTGGTCTACAACTTCACTCCCTATTTCTAAACTAGGAGTCAGTGTAGTCCAGTCCGCACCTGTAACATCATCTTACATTTGGCGGGAGCGAATCGCATGCCAAACATTCGTAGATTGCAGCTCAAGGTGTTCAAAAGACCGTATCTGCATTTTATCAACGTCTTCGCCTAGAAGGACTATATCGTCTGCATATTCTAAGTCAACGAGATTATTCCCTGGTAGCAATTCAATCCCTGAGTCTCTGAAGTTACTTAGGGTTAAATCGATTAGTACATCTATGATGAAATTGAATAGAAATGGGGATAGTGGGCAGGGCATCCCTGTCGGACACCACCAGTCGTCACCACTTCAGATGACAACTCGCCGTAAGCCCTCACCAGGCTGATAGCATGAGTTCGAGTAGAGTGCCTTGATCAGTCCAATGTATTTTCTCTGCATTCCTTTTACAGCCAAGCATCGCCAGAGTACCTCTCGGTCGAAAAAATCGAATTCCGCCTTTAAGTCAATAAATATGACGATTGTTGGACGCCGCCGGTGAGAATGCCTATGCTCAAGAATCTGCCGAAGGGTTAAGATATAATCAATACACCCTCTTCCTGGGTATATTTGGATAAGCGTAATACATTTTTTTATTTTAGATAAACGAATAAAAGTAAAACAAGAAAAACTTTTCTTTACAAAACAAATAAATAAATAAACTTACAACATCTTGAAATAATGATATTAATTCTAAGTGTCGATGTTTTAATTGATCCATTTCACCTTTTATTTGTTTAACATGCTCATTATAGACTTCATCCAATGGACGAAATGAATGTTGTTCATGCTTATTATCAAACAGTGCACATTGATGACAGATTGAAAAATCACACGTTGAGCAAAATACAGATAAACGTTCATTGTGCAATTCACAGCTGAAAAAAAGGAAACAACCAAACAAGCAAATAAACAAAAAATCATATACACATACATACACGCATAAGTAAACATTGTCGTTAATCAGTACATATGATTTTATTTGTTGATTTTTACATTTTTTTTTTACCAACAGAAAGAAACGGAAGATTTAAGAGAGAAAAACATGACAACCATACTTTGATTGAACACATTCTAGGTAACCATCAGTCAAGTCTGCTATATGGCCATCAAGATGCACTCTGAATGGCCATATTGCCAATGCATGACACTTGTTACCCCTAGTGTGTTCTCAACGGAAGTATCTAATGCAGTCAGTCCTACAGGAGGTCAATCGCGAGAACGATAACCTAAATGATAACATTTCTGGTTGCAGCACTGAGTGATGCGGGTTCGAATCTCAGAAGGGATATGAGTTCCTTGGAGTTTGCACATACATCTTGCTGACTGGTGAGTGTCCATGGCTTTCTGACGATTACCCCCCCCGAACATCTAATAACAACAATTCAGAATTCAGTGGCGTGATGTCAAGCCACCTAACCTAGCATGGTGACCAAATTACAAATGTGACTGATAGAATTCAGTCCGCACCAACACAAAGGACCGAACATACCACACTACTCTGTACCTAGTATCCAATGCAATCTTATTATTATATTATTGTTTCCTTTAATTCCTAGAGGAACATAGGGCTTCGGCCGAACATCTCCATTGCGTTCGGTTCTTCACGAATGTTTTCACCTGGCTACACGTCTGCCCACATGCTTTCATCTTCCCTGACATCACTCTCTCAACCTCCATATTACCCTCTCAATCCACCTCCATTTCTTCCTGCTTATTTGTTGAACAATTGGTTCCTGCTGTATTGGTTGACTAATTACCAGACATCCCTTTTTGTTGCTGATCTTCTCTGGCCGGCCATCTAATCTTGAGTAGTATTGAGCAAAGACAGTTGTTGATGAAGGTCTGTAGTTTGTTCGAAGTGCCCTTCGTGACGCGCTGGCCAAGTCTCTCATCCGTATAGTAAGTAGCATTGACTTTACATTTCAGTTGAAAATTCGGATCTTATTTTTCATTCTGAGTGCTGTTAACCTCCACACAGACTTGAAAGTATTGAGATCTTGCCTTGGTTTCCCAATCCTCGCTTTGATATCCTCGTCAGTTTTGTCCGCCTGTATTTGAAAGGATGATTCCCGGGTAGGTAGGTAGATGGGTAAAGAAGGTTGCTTCTCTCAGATTTCTCCCATTTATACTAATTTTTGTTCATTATTGCTGCTGTTGGCCAGGAGTTTTCATCCCCTCTGTTTTCTCTATTTTCACCTGAAGTCCTATCGTCTCTGGATGCTTCTTCTGACAACTTGTCGCTTTTCACTTGCATATCTTCCATTTTGTGGGAAACTAGACAAATATTATCGGTGAAGTCCAGATCCTCCAAGTTTTTTGTGTGGGTCCACTTTACTCCTGTTTCCTCGTTTCCTGCCGTCTGTCTGTCACATCATCCAGTCTACCGCAATCAGGAAGATCACTGAAGGTAGTAGGCAGCCAGCTTGTCTTACTCCCGCCTTCCCTTTCAAGGATTCTGTGAGCTTCCCTCGGTGTAGGATGTCGGTCGCAGGCCCAAATATCTCAGTGGTAACGATGCTGACTACAGCACTGGGTGATACAGGGATGGATCTCAGAATGGGCATGAGCTTCTTCAGGGTTGCAGATACGCCTTACTGATGACTGCTAACAAGCATGAGAACTACTTGCATGGCTTCCTGTGGCCGATTGCCTCCAACTATATAACAACAAGCTAACAACCAATTCAAGATAATAGTATTAAGTTAGATGAGTGTACTATTCATATGATGAGTCAATGATTCAGTGGGTGATAGAACACTGGTCAATCACGCACGCCTTATGTGGCTCAGGGTCCTACCCCAGGCCGACTCACCGGAAAACCTCGCTTATCAGGTAATTAGACCAGTAAGGAAGGAGAGTTGGACTTGAGGTTAACAGCTTTATTTCGTAAAAAACAAACACTGCTGTTTCTGAAACTTCAGAACTGAGGATTAAAGAGACCTATGTGTCCCATACAGAATACGATGATACTTACAATAGAGAATCTCAGAGAATAAGGCATGTTGATGTAACATAATTCTGAAGAATTATTTTCCACCAATGTAAACAGGGATTTGTTTTTTTTTATATAATTTAGTGTTTGAAGTGGAAACGAAACTTGACGACCAGTAGGTGGCCACACGAAAATCTACATCAGATAACTTGATGCACTCTATTCTCACTTAGATAGTTATTTTTCGTCATCTCATAGCTCCTATCCTCGAACACTGGTGCAAGTTAAACGTTGTCAATGAATATGAAATAAAACAAATCTCAGTTAAAAGCGATGACTAAATGGAATGCCTTTGTAAATTAAACCACACACAAAATATATTGCTCAATGAAAGCGGAAGGTACTCAGTGATGGTTATTCCGCATTGCACAGAGGGTAAATAAAGCACCAACTGCTGACTTAACAAAACCCTGAGATATATTTTGCGTTTAACTTCTGACACATGTCTGATTTAGACACTGCTGAGATTTTCGAGATGCGATGCAACACCTCAACAAGCCAACTGGCGCCATGAAACAAATACAATGACGGATCGGCTTTTCTATTTTTTTTATTTTATTTTTATATTTGATTACAGCTTGATTCCACACCATACAAGTGTGGAATTTTCAGCATGGATATCGGTAGCCCAAATTTTGCAGGCCGACCATAGATATCAGGTGCGCGTCGGCAGGGGATCGAACCTCGGACCATGTATATGGTCGGCGAGAGTCCTAACCACTGTGCCACCGACGCACATTGGCTGACGGATTAGCACACAAGTGTACCATTCCAAACTGTTAAAATTCTTGCAGCCGATATAAGTACGGCGGGTTCCAACTTTTTATGTAAACATCAAAAGTCTAAATCAGTAGAATCACATCCAATGACTGTCAGACTGAAGCTTATCACAGTTTGGAGATTCGTATTCACTAAAACTATTTCCAAAGCATCACGTTTGATTGGACACTTGTAACTAGTATGATGTGTCTGGTTTGTTCTTTGTTTGCTGCAGACTAAATTCTATCAGTCACCTTTGCAATGTGGCCACAATTCTAGGTGGCTCGCCATCACGTTGCACTCAGGATTGTTTTTATTGTATGGTTGGAGGCTATCGGCCACAGGAAGCCTTGGTTGACCTAGGTTTCGTGCTAGTCGCCGTTTACCAGTCATCAACAAGGCGTATCTTCAACCTTCAAGGAACACTCATGTCCCGTCTGAGATTCAAACCGGCGTCACCCAGTGCTACCAGCAGTCAGAGACGTTACCACTAAGCTATCCTGAAATTATTCCAAAGAGCAATTGAAACTTTTGACTGTATACCGATGAAATTCTACCTCGTTTCCTCTAAAATGTTATAAAAAGTAACCAATATGCGCTATGGAGCAATCGACGAGTATGAGAATGTACATGTCCCGATGTTTTGTTTATTTTTCTTACCTGTTTTTTAACGGATTTTATAAGAAGTAAAAAAAATTCTAACAAGAGCTGAGTAACACAACAGAAAGGAAATTATTTGCATAAAAATGGCATTTACTTGTGTAATTTTGTGTGTGTGTGTGTGTGTGTGTGTACGTACATGTGAACAACGCTGCTTGTCAGTCAAAGCTAGTTTTACAATGCTTTCTGCAGGGCGTTATCCCTAACTTATAAAAACTAAGAACTAAAATAACAACGACGAAAGTTGTCTGAATAAAGTTGTGTAATAACTGACGTGGTATATGTGCTTATTCAAGCAGTATATGCAAATGAATCAATACTAGACTAATGGTAGGCAAATGGTACGCAAATACTGTGGAATTCAACAGTTTAACTTTGTCAGGATATACTGTTTTTTCTGTGTATGTGCATTAAACAGCACTGGGCTGTTGTTCCACATTTCGTGGTTGTTGGCTTCTATCTTGATAGGACCTTGTATCTGCTGAGTTCCAAAGTTAGGGATTAAACTGGAAAGCTAAACTGTAACTGAATGCCAACTAATATATATATATATATATATATATATATTTTATTTTATCGATCGGCTAACTTGACAGACAATTATTCACACCAGTTACCAGTACCCAGTCAAAGTATCCAATACATTCAGTGCCACAGGAGGTCAATCGCGAGCCCAAATAGCTCAGTGGTAACATTTCTGCCTTCAGCACTGGATGATGCGAGTTAGAATCTCAGAAGGGATATGAGAGAGTTCCTTCAAGGTTGGAGATACGCCTTGTTGACGACTGGTGATTGGCAACTAGCAGAAAACCTAGGTCGAAGGCTTCTTGTAGTCGATTGCATCCAACCAACCATCTAATATCATCAAGAGAATTATTCAATCGGCGGACAGAACCACCCAGCATAAAGAGGACATTCTAATTCTCTTATTATTTACACGCACTATTGTTTATATGACAAAAATTGCAAGGTATTAAGCAATAATTCCATACACCAAATTCAATCTCATCACCGCAATTCGTAAAATTAAAATCTAATTAGCATATGTGTAAGTAACTGTCTATTGATATCTTATAATAGATAATGGGTTAGCTGTCTTTTTCCAGTGATATTAGTTCCAAACACGACGTGTTTCATTGGTGCAGAAAAATATATCACGTCAACAATGATGTACATATAAGAGCGAAGCTTCTTGTATAAATATCTGCCAATAACAGGATGCAGAAATTTTATGGCTAGCCTTGAACAGACAAAGCTTAAATACAAAGTTGATGGAACAATATCCTAATATAGATACGTAAACAACACATTCATTGTATGCAATGATTTCAGCCACGAAACGTATCTGCTTGTGCTTTATTCAACAATATACATGAAGGCATTACTTTCATAATAGAACACGAAGAAGGTGAGTGTTCCTACTATCTGAATATCGGTTTGGAGAGAGGAAGAGAGATGAAACACTTGGGAAGTCGATTTATTGCAAAAAACACTTCAATAACTTCTGTTTACTAGGGCAAAAAGAATATGTCCAGTCGATAAATCAGACAATATACTCATGTTATTTGAAAAATGTCTACCCAGAAAGTTACATAAGGAAATATTGCAAGAAAGAGTGTACAAATCCAGATTTCATGACAGTCAGAAAGAAGCCGACTTTCACTCAACTTTACTTCAAAAGTGATGATATTATGAGGATGATAAGTAAACGTCTCATCTGTTACCTCCAACTGTGTACAACAATTCACCTATAACTGCGAGAGCTGTCTCATTGGGAGAACAAGAAGAAGAGCCTATGTCGGATCCTTTGAGCACTTACCAAAGAGCCTTCGATTAAAGGGAGCTAGTAGTTTGATCTCTTCAATTATCTAGCACCTCATAGATACAGGAAGTCAAGAAGACGCATTGGAAGCTTTCAAAATGATAAACTGACAAGACAGCCCTAGTCTTCTTCGGTTTGTTGAACCTATCGCAATAATATGACTTAAGCCTGACCTATGTGTTCAAAGGTAACTCCCACCTAACTGAATAATATCTTTTCATTTTATTACTTCGTTCCACCCCACCCCACACCCCCACCTCACTACACTTTCTCTACTTCACTTTAATATTAGACTAAATGTGTTATCTTTGGAATTCTACTCACTATGTTATATGCGCCAAATTCTGGTTTTTCAATCTTATGCATTCTAATCACTGTCTTTTATTATCTCTCAATGCACAGTTACCGCTGTCTTATCACCACCCTAACAACTAATAAATTGACATAACTGTATTATCCTTATGTTTTGTCCCACCATAACTTTCTTACAACAATTCCTACTAGAGGAATTACCAATTATAAACAAAATGCATGTTAAAATTGTACTGTAACTGGTCTCAATGAATACTACAGGTTTTATGCAGCTGAAGAGAACCTACGAAATAAAATGGATCTATAGTAATCCGCACATATATGTTTGTTCTGCCTTTGCTCAAATTTATAAAGGGGAATTCATGTATGATATATATATATATATATATATATATATATATATATATATATACTCATGTTACAAGAGAAAAAGGTTCTTACATATCAACATTAGAGGCTGCACCATTGGCGCCGGATCCTGACTGATCACCCTGACCAAGAGACTTAGATGAAGTTGCTTGAGACTGTAGATTATCCAACTGCTGGGTAACTTCATCAGCCCAACGGCAGTTAATCAGTTCATAAATATGTAGTGATGCGCTATTAGTTGAAGCAAGAAGAAGGTTAATGCAACAGATATACACGAGATTATTATATTCAAATAATGACTTTGAAATAGAAAGTACTTGAATACAATTAAGAATCTAAAATACCGCAATATATTAGGACATATTTTCTCATTATTTGTATGACATAATGTTTAAAAATTACACAGTAAGGCAAGGATGAACATTCTGAATTAGGAAGCAATTACAGGAAACATTAAGAACACCTTCTTCAGCATATCGACTTAACCCAAAATATTCCAACAATTGACACCCGCATTATTCTACATGTGTTGCAATCGAGAGATGTAATCTGATCTATTGCCAAAAAATAGGACGAAATTAATTTATCAACTACCCACAACGAACTCCTTGTAAGGAAACAGGATTTCTGGTTAATGAGTGGAAAGACAGGCAGAGACATTCAAGAAGCTGGAAGTATAGGTGAAACTAGCGTCCACAGACATATGGATATAAACCCCTTACACAGTCGAACTGTGAAACCCTATCAACTAAAATGGGATACACGTGCTGAGTCACCATCTTCCTGAACGATCAAAGTCCTATGAAGTGGATGGAATAAGGCAAGGAAAAACTTGGGAGTAGTAGGTACAAGACACGCCACCAATCTGTGAAATATCCAACTCTTGGTTTGAACCACTTAGGCAGGTGCAGACTTCCTGACTAGGATGCTACAAATCAGTGGTTACAGACAGTTGGTGACACAGCTCAAAATCAGGTGTATTGATTCCTCGCAATCATAGTTAATGTTCATCTAAATATTCGTTGCCCGTCTAATGTATTCTCATTACGTTCCTCCTACTTTAATTTTGTGTGCACTTTTGTTGACTTAGAATGCAGATGATATAATCCTTCTAGGCGAGGACGCTGACAAAGTGCAGACTCTTCTGAACACCTTGAGCTCAAATCTACGAATGTTTGGCATGCGATTCGCTCCCGCTAAATGTAAGATGATGTTACAGGTGCGGACTGGACTACACTGACTCCTAGTTTAGAAATAGGGAGTGAAGTGGTAGAGCTCGTTGACCACTCCACTTATTTGGGAAATACCATCAGCCAACGCCAGCGGGTTGATCTGTAACGAAATATCAGTACGGATACAGAGGGCTAGTTTCGCATATCCCATTTTACGCCGTCTCTGGTGTAGACGTCATATCCGGCTGGTTATCAACCAAAGGGCGGGAGTACTGCTCAGCAGTCCGCTCCATCCTCCTTTACAGCTGGCTGTGAGTGAGACCTGGCCATTGAGAGTGAATGACATGAAAAAACTAACTGTCTTCGATCATAGTTGCCTGTGCTCTATCTCTCGTATGAAGTGGTATAATAAGGTGAGCAATATTGAGGTGAGGCCTCAGTCGAGTGCTAGGTTATGAAATCAACCGACGAGGCTGTGAAATTACATCAGGTGAGATGGTTAGGATATGTGTTATGTATGCCTAGTCATCTCCTTTCTCGATGGGCAATGTTAGCTGACATAGGATTAGACTGGAAAAGAGCTAGTGGCGGTCAAACCAAAACATGACTTCATCAGTCAATGAAATCTACAACAGTTAGTTTAAACCAGCCACGTAGGACATTGTAGACTTCTTGACTGGTTGGGGTCCTCGGGACAGCAAAAACCAATGGAGGCTGGAGACAATCGGTGATATGGCTCAAAATGACCGTTCTCAATGGGTGGAGTAGATGCATCCACTCATTGTGACTTATAATTTCCAATGAAGCAATATTGTTCTTCGTTATTACTATTCCTTTATCTCACACCTCTGTTTGCTGTCTCTATTATGCACTTCTTTTTACTTCTCTTGCTTTGTGTGCTACAAGGAGGGAGTGTGGCGACTTGAACTAGTGCACATCGGTGCAAAGTTCTATGTCGAAAACAGACAGACAGACAGTGCACTTTTGTGCTACGTTCCATGTTGATAAGTCATTTACTTATAGTCAAAATATTACACGATAAAAATCTTCCCCCTAAACCACAACGGAGAAAGTGAGAAAAACGACACATAAATATGCATGCATCTTGAGAATATAACTCTCTCCTTAATGAAATAAGCGTTGAGGAAATCACATTCTCTCGATTAAATATAAAACAACAAACAAATACGAATCACATACTGAGATAAATAGTATTCTAAGTTATATCACAAAGTATTGCACTATAGCTCAAGGTTCTGTTGTTCATGTCAAGATATGCATCGTACAAAACAAAATTGAATATAGCTGAGAAAATCGAATGTGATTGATTTTGAACAAGTGTCATGTGAGTTTTAAGCTTAGGTTTCCAACTCAACTCAAACATTCTACTGTTTCGATCAATAGCTTCGACAACAACACATTTCCCTATAATCTCAGATCTTAGTAATTATCTATCTCGCTTTAATTTTAACAATTTCTCAATACTGTGAAATCTATAACATTCCCCACCGCCTAACTGATACTGACGACACAGACTTCCAAAATACTTCCCGTAATTTCATGAAGCTAAACACTGAACAGTTAGATATTCATAATATACCAGACATACGACATAGCGTTATCAAGACTGATCTCAATAGCCACATCTAGCGACACATAACGACGAAATATACCATTTAAGGTTAGGAAGAAGGAGAAAAAAGTTCGACTAAAGGTCAATACGGGTGAAACAAATAAAGAGGTGTTGTATTGCAGTTAAAAATGATGGTGTGTTATCTATACAATTAGGCAATTCCGTCATATATAGCATCGTGTCTAACAACATCAGCCTCCTTCGTTACGTGAACTCCAATACAAGCAGCTATTCCACATAGCTCAGACTAACAGTCAGTGACTACGTTGACTGTTATGACATATCAACTCGACCCTCTTTTGTTGCATTCTAACACCAGCCTAATGTGAGCTGAAAATCGGTGGATCGTAAAACCCCTTAAATTGTTCTTCAATGTATCTAGAAATATAGGAAACAGATTGGCAAATGGAAGAGAGATAAGGATAGTTGATAAATACGGCAGGAGTCTCTCCGACATGTGGAACAAACGTCTGATCACATCAAATGAACTAAATAACATAAACGTCTTAAGTAGCACAGCTGTGCGTCAAATAGCTTCTGCAATTTTCGGCTTTCGTAAGTGGTATCACAAACACTTAATCATATAATATCCTATATTCAGTAAGAGCGTGAAAATTCATCACACACTTCTTCATATAGTATGTAGAAATGTCATTCGGATAAGTTCAAAAAAAAGATGCGAATTCCTGAGAATGTGGAAATGTTCTACACCTTGTATAATAACATTTATATGATGACAATCACCTGTTTCTGATTACAAATCGAATACGGTGTTAAACAGAACTTCCGAAGACTGCTAGAATACTGATGAGGAACGGCAGCAACCTAAAACTTACTAACATCATTGTTTCTAACAGAACCGCACTGAAAAGAGGAATGGTAAGATGGATTTGGGAATTTTTTTAACGATTTTCTCTTCATAAAGTAAATTCAGTAATATTATTGTGAATATGCATCACTGCAAGGGAATTTACAACAAGGCTGTGATTGATGTATCGTTAACAAGCTATATATATATATATATATATATATATATATATATATATATATATATATATATATATATATATATATATATATAGTCATGCGACGATTATCTTATGGGTGCTAAGGATTTTTAAACAATTAATAGAACCTAATAACTAATAACCTACTAACTAGTTAATCACTGTTTACTGGTGTTTTGCAAAATGAAGATGTGTAAGAAATTGCTTTTTATATCACCAGAATACTATACGCCTACTGGTTTTGTGATGTCTATTTGGAAATATTACCAACATAACTTACGCCAGAGTTGCTTTAACTCTGATATCATCACGTCCGATGAGCTTGCGTTATGGATACTTGTTGGGTTAACCGTCACATGACCCCAGTCATCCATGTGACATAAGTATAAACTATTAAGACCAGAAAACAACTTCGATACTATACACAAATATATATATATATATATATATATATATATATATATATGTACATGTGCAACAATAAACATTTCATTGGCCTATGCTAAAACAACTTGGAGACAGATTTGAATATTTACCCCTCAAAGCAAACTCTATACTTAGAGAAACAACTTATTCTATGAAGGGGAATCGGTTCGGTTGACTGCTTTAATCGATGTGGATATGGGCTACTCTCATGAGAGCGTACATACGAGGCAACGGGTGGAGGAGAAATTTATTCTTAAGAAACACGATATTTAATTAAATTATATATGTCCAAACCAAGTTCACTTTTAACGGTTTGAAAAAATTTGGGCATTGGGTATATGATATTCATTATAATAAAGGTTTGTGTATTTCCTGAAGAATGGATGAAAAGCAAAATGATATTGCTTTTACTGACATTTCGCTATTTAATGCTAATAGCTTTATTAAAGTATTATTAATAATACTTTGATAAAGCTATTAGCATTAATTAGCGAAACGTCAGTTAAAACAATAATATCGTTCATTCATCGGGAAATACAAAAACCTTTATTATAATAAAAAACACGATATTATTTATGTCTTTCCAAGAATAATTAGTACGTTTGATGACTAACCAATCTAGTAACACAATAAGAGTAAAATAGAGAAAACTCTGCGAAATGGTGCTTCCCATGTAAACTTCAAGTCGAACAGCAACTTATGACAACTACAACAGACGCTAAGTCCGACTGTAACGATATAAATATGTGGATAATTGTTGCCAAGCAATACCTAAATAATGAGTAATATTTCGGACCTTAAACTTGCTCGTCAGTAAGCACAATACCAATCGAAATATAAATAAACTCATTCACACCTTAATTTCACGATTTTATTTTGAAAAAATTTACGTTACAAATATTGGTATCTCCACTGCAGCTTAATGGTTGTAGAGTGGGATTGTGTAATAGTAAATGCGTAAAATTGCTGAAAATCTGATGTGTTCTCGTGTCATGGCAGTCACAGAGCACTTTTCATGACACATTTACAGAACATTTGCTTAGGAAGCTCTCGACGTTTTAAAGAAAATGAACCTTTTGGAAAACAAAAATTGTGTTAATTACCGACAGTGAGGACATTGAGACCGTGTTTCCGTGATCCATTTCTAAAACATCCCATTAATCACTACAAACATTCTTACTCTTATGCATTTATAACAACAAAGTTTTGAACAATGTGGGCACAAACGTGCATTGTTAAGCCTCTCCATACATATAAAGCAACGAAAAACCTCTGATAAGCTCTAAAATCAAGTGATCGAACAGCGAAATCATTTAGACATACTTCAAATGTATCTACACCATTTGGCTTTTCATCTCGACGATTCAGAGTCATTTTTAAGACTTTAAGTATAGCCTTACGCTAAGGCCTTACAATATACTTTATTTAGGCTAACGAAAATACAAACCAAGCGCAGTTGGTTGGAAGGTAAATATAACGTACGTGGCTTAGTTAAACATTGTCCAAGGGAAAACTTTTACTCAAGTTTTCTCTCGCTAAATTCATCAGTGCAGTGATTTATCGATTTGAGCTCCTCGAGACTAATGCATACATCGTATATTGATGTCCAGTGCATTGGAGACACTGCGGAGAGTCCTGTTCTTAAAGAAGGTAGTAGGCTGTCGGTTAGCTAACCTGTCATGTGTTGTCTCTAGCAGGTAGAGACAGGTATAGGAGATCAAGTGATGATTCGCGTGAAGAGGTATGGTTTAGCGACAAGAAATGACTTAATATCCGACCCGAGCATTTGGGCCAAGGCATATAGGCTCCTTTGGTGAACGTTGTGGAGTAATCTGCAAGACAGTACACTAGGTATGTACTAGTTTACATGGTTGTGCATACACGTTTACTGCCTCGTCATGTCTTGTCTCTTAATTTGTGATCACTGGAGCCTTACAAGCTATGCAACTTACTATAGAGGGAGTAATCTATATTTATATTTATTTTGATTACAGCTTGATTCCACAGTGTATTTTTGATACAAGTATAAAATTTTCAGCATGTGATATGGGTAGCCCAAATTTTGCAGGCCAAACATAGATATCAGGTGTGCATCGCCAAGGGGTCGAATCCCGCACCATGTGCATGATCGGTGAGAGTCCTAACCGCTGTGCCACCGACGACACTAAGCAAAGAACAGATGAGCTATTTTGACGAGACAGTGATAAACTATACAAATAAGAGTGGAGGCAACACTAATATGCGAGACTACGTGAAGAGATAGGCGAACAAATAGACTTGGTTTTCATCACCATTACACAAAACTGCTCGGATTAATAATACACCTTGGAAGCAGTAGAGGCGATCGGTTGACATAGAGAGGTGACTGCCATTCCAATCTTTGTTCAATGATGATTCGTAGAGTGGCGATTTGATCAATACATGACTTGTTTCTCCTGAATCCGGCCCGTTCCGGTCAAAGATTTTCATCCAGATTGGCTTGTTTGATTCTCTCCAGGATGATGCGGCTTATTATTTTGCTTGGGATAGACAGGAGCATAATTCCGCGCCACTTTTTGCATGGACTTAAGTCTCCTTTCTTTGGTAGTTAGAATGAGCATCCCTTCTTCCAATCCTCGGGTACTTTGCCCTCTTTCCACACCTTCTCGAGTAATGGCGCTGTCAATGGAGTTGAAGATTGAACGATCAATTCTTGGTTGTTTGCTCAAAACCAACTTCCCCAATTTTTGCGGAGGCATCAATACGACAGTCATCGTCTCATCGGTCGCTGTTCAGAAAGAAGAGTAAAACATCGTCAGAAGTAATCTTATGATTTCTTATTGTAATATTTGTTCACAGACCTTAGTTACCTTAGTTCAGTTATAATTTTTATATGTTGGTGTAACAATAAAGAAATCTCAAGCGGCAGATCGGTGTTTTGGTTTTTTCGTCCGTTATAACTAAGCGTTTCTGAAAAATCTTCAAGGAACAGCGTGGGCCCGAGCGTAGCGAGAGCTGGGCATTAACGGTTTATGAGACGTGATTGACAGTTTCTGACGACAGAAACAGATCTGGCGGATTCGAACAGTTGGTGAAAGTTTGGATAGTCACCGTTCATCTTTCCTGGCGCCGGTCAAGTCCTCTTTGAACAAGCAATATCTGGAACGTTTTTGGAATTGGGTCAAGTTCAACAATGCCTGGGTCAAAGAAGGGACAGAGCGTCTTGGATGCAAACAGGAAAGTAAGTCATGGTGACTTGTCTGTTAATTGTAACGATGTGTCTGATGTTAAGCATGACATGGTTGATGTTACTGTTTCGCCGTTCAGGGATAATAGGAACATCAAACTCCCTAAATTTGAACCACGGTGTTTTGATGGAAACCCGGCTGATTATTTACAATTTGTAAAGGAGTTTGAGATCATGTTGAGTAGTTTTCTATCAAGTGATGAATTGAAGTTAATGTATTTGATGAGATATTGCACTGGAGATGCTGCAAGAGCTATACAGTGCTGTAAGTTTATGCCCCCTAATGAAGGCTACGCTGAGGCTATGAGCACACTACGTCAAAGGTTTGGAAGACCTTCGATGATTGCAGGGAAATTATTCGAGGCTGTTAAGGGTAATGGTGGTCAATTACAGGATGACTCCCAGGCACTCACTGAGTTTTTAGATAATTTGCTAATTTACAAGAATGGAATGATTTCGATGAATCGCATGAGTGACCTCAACTCGAGTTTTATACTAGAAGTAATAGCAAGACGTCTACCTACTCGACTGCAAAGGAAGTGGGTGAAGATAAGCTCCCGTATGGAGGATGAGGGTATCGAGCCAAAGTTTGATGATATCCTGAAACTGGTAAAAGATAGTGTCAATCAATCTATGAGCAGGTCATCCAGTCTATTACATCTCACCCCTAGAATAGAGCAGTCTGAGGGTAAAACGCACTCATTGATGACGAATAGGCCTCAGAGAGGTGGATATCGAGAAGGCTCCATGATGTCTAGTAATGCATATAAACTTAGTGAGTGCAACAGGTTTCGTAGTACATCCTCAACAGATAAGTTACAAGATGCAAGACAAACACGGTTGTGTTTCACACGTTTGCAAGAAGTGCGTACAAAGGTGAACTGTGAACCAGTGAGCAAGTTCAGTGATAAGCTAAATGTAAACTCCAGGCATGACTCCGAATTGTGTGACGATAACGGTTTGGTCAGGAAGTCTGTAGTTGCAACTGGTAAGCCATTGTTGAATAGAGTGTCACAGAATAGAGTTGCTGCTTCAGAGTGCAGTTCTGACCCTACAAGTTTACAAGGTATTACTAGTCAGAGTGAAGTTATAAGACCTGTTAGGATTTGCGAGGAGGAACCAAAATTGTCTACTTCTGTTATTAAAGAGTTTGAAAATGATAAAGTTGACGGTAAAGTGAATATTCGTGATAATGATCATGATAGTGCAGATTTGTCTTTGGTTGATCATGATGAGATGAGGGATATGCCTACTACTGCTAAGTTGAACAAAGGTTCTGTACAACTTGAACGTGAAGTAGAAATAAATGCAGATGCAGTTGCAGAAGGCACGCATACTTGTGAGACCGTCAGTGTGATTGATCAGCATGTAGCCCACCTATCATCAGATGCCAGTGCTAAGCCTGAGCTGATAGTAAAAGACAGCAGTGGTGGTGGTCTTGCAGGTAGACAACTTTCTGAAAGCCGAAAAAGAACAGCTTTTGATCCACCGCTAACTTCATCAACTGATATCAATCAGTCGTCGTTGGTGCTGTCATCCACAATGAAACAGACACCCATCATCTCAAGTATCTTGTGCAATGACTATGCTAGTATCAGTTCGTTTGAAAGGACGAATATCAATGGTCAGTTTAGTGAGGATAAGCCAAGTGTAAACGAGAGAGTAATTGTTAAATTGACGTGCACGAACAAAGGCATTTCTAGTTTCAAGTTACTTATTGAATGTTATTATCTTTGGTGTAAATTACTCTGTTTCTACACTTGGTTGATGAGATATGTCGTGTGTTTGTTGGTCATCTATATTCTACGATACAATGACATGAGCGTGTTATCGTTCAGATTTGAGGATATAGCTCATAGAAGGAAGTTAGCAAATGAACTCTGCGACGATTTTCCAACCTAGAGCGTCAACCTGAGAAGGGTTGTAGGCGTACTGCTGTAAGTCCTACAGTTCTTCAAGGGTAGTTTGTCGTGCCAGAATCCACAACATTTGATGTGTTGATTGTACATATGTTTGTGTTAAATAATTGTGTGAGTTCCAATTGATGTAATTGTTGGTTAATCTTGTTTGTGTCCGTACATTCCACAAATTACAATCGTCAACCTGAGAAGGGTTGTAGGCGTACTGGTGTAAGTCCTGCGATTCTTCAAAGGAATTCCATCAAGATGTGATCCGCGAGTTTGTGTGTACAGTTTGTATATATGTGTGGTGTGTCATATCAATTGGTGTTTTTTGGATTCATTGTGTTTACTTGTTGTTTTCGTATCTTGTTGTTATTGCGTAATTTTGTTAAATTGTTCGTCGTGATTACTTCTGAAGTTGTTTCGAGTCTTCTACATCCATGAATGAATTGATTGATGTTAAGGACAGCAGATGGGTCGTATACGCCGGGGAGGCTAGGCTATTGCTGAGAATGAAATGCACACGGAGATAATGATTAGCTGTGGTCTCACACGCCGGGGAGAAAGAGTGTAAACGACTGAGGCTCGCATACATCACCGTTACTAGAGCTGAGGCAGAATGAGTGACAAGCGATTTCAGTGATAATTGGTAGTGAGTAGATAAGAGGATGTGCGTAGAGTATCGTGAGGTGGTGCTATGGTCACGTTGCATTCTGCAAGAGTCATTCTAGCAAGTGGCGATTGTGTTGCAAGATGTCAAGAGGATGCCTTTAACTGGAGGCGCAGGTCGTCATTGATGTGTGAGATTGTGCTGTGAGTATGCTTGTGGTGTGTTGGCTTTTCTGTTTGTTTTCCATTTTAGCTCTGTCCGTGTGACCCAGGTTCTCGCAATGGCATCCAAGTCAACGTGTATTGTTCGCAATGGAGAAAAGGGTTGGATCCCTTTTTTGGCGGGGAGTGTCAATGTAGTTGAAGATTGAACGATCAATTCTTGGTTGTTTGCTCAAAACCAACTTCCCCAATTTTTGCGGAGGCATCAATACGACAGTCATCGTCTCATCGGTCGCTGTTCAGAAAGAAGAGTAAAACATCGTCAGAAGTAATCTTATGATTTCTTATTGTAATATTTGTTCACAGACCTTAGTTCAGTTATAATTTTTATATGTTGGTGTAACAATAAAGAAATCTCAAGCGGCAGATCGGTGTTTTGGTTTTTTCGTCCGTTATAACTAAGCGTTTCTGAAAAC